CTCGTCCAGCTGGATGGACGTCTAGACGTCCAGTTAGAGTATCACTGTTATGTCCAAATGAGCTACGGCGGTATGGAAGGTGGACAAGACCAAGCAGTGACCTCATCCGGTCCAACTAAAGCTACAAAGGAATTCCTGCCCGTGGTGAGGGTGGGAGAGACGTACAAGTACCTGGAGTTCAAAGATGCACTAGGGACTACAGTGCAACAAAGCCAAATCCTTCGCCTCACTAGCAAGACGAGGAATGGTATCATTAAGCGCCTCAGGTCAGAGCTCTTTCCCTGTGAGACGTTGGATGCGATGCGCACTTTTGCGATGTCGCGACTGGAGTATCACCTGAGGCATTGCTACCCTTAAAAAATTTGGTCGTGTTTGGTCGTCATCTACGTGCCGTTCAGGGAAGGACATAACAACCGACGTGTTCCATCAACCCATTTTGAGTGGAGGGATGCCCATACACATGGTCCCAACAGCAACACGAATTGGGCATACTATCCAGATGCTTAACAGCGCTGGTAGCATGATACGAACGGTTGCAAGTCAATTGCTTGAGATCATCAACCCGGCACTCGTAGAAAATGATGCAAACGATCAAGAAGCTATTCTTGCCTATATAAACAGAAGCAATATTGGATGTCTTAAGAGGAGAGACAAGAAAGTGCATATACGAAGCTTGTGGTCAGACCTTCCGGGAAACATATCAGTGAGCACGACGCAAATCGAGACTGGGAGTGATGGGAGCTTGTATATTGTTCAGATAGCAGAAGGTTCCTACTTAGACCAGAAAAACTTCACCAGAAGCATCAAGCAGCATATGGCAGGGTGGCAGCGAGATGTGCGAAATGGCAGATCAAGGGAAATCCGCGGACTACCAGACAGAAAGTAGCAATACTGTCCTTAAGGGACCTACGCCCCTGAAGCCGGTAGAAGTGAAATTCGCAATAAGAGCACCAGCTTCACAGCTTCCCACCAGAGCTAACTCGAGACGATCCAACTCTCAAAGGTTTCAAGCTGCCGCCACTGCACCGCTGAAACTGAAACACTTGCTCATGCCCACACAGCCTTTGCTGCAAGATAAAGACTAGGTATAACAAGGCACTGGAGAGTATCACAAGAACTAGCAAGAACAGCTTGTCAAAGCGAGGAAGCCAGTCAAGATTGACAACTTCCAAGAAGAGATGGAGACATTACCGAGGCCAGACATCATCCTGAGAGACGAAAAACGCAAGACAGTGACAAAAGCACATATGGCTATTGCCGTCGAGGACTACAAGAAGAACTCGCTTGGTACAGTCCGCATTGACAAAGAAGAGAAGTACCAAGCATTCAAGACACACTATGGAAAGCGTGAGTATCGGGAGACAGTGCTGGCACTAGTCTATGGATCCTCAGCGGTCATTGCACAAGAGAAGCAAAAGCTGCTTTCACAGGAGCAACGCATCAGCGAAAATTAGTCGCATCAAAAGAACAAAAGTAATGACGATGTTGGATTAGAGCCACTTGGTTGCATGTGAGCGCCTGGAGACAGAACTGGCATTTTGGATTTGAAGGGCTCGGAGTGGCGCATCCTGTCGGTCGGAATGCGCAAGTGTGAAGGCCTATTGAGGATAGAGGAAGGGAATGTTGATCATGGGACGTTCAGAAGCCTGTGTGTTGGAGAGTGGAGTGTGTGTGTGTGTGTATGTGTGTGTATGTGTATGCGTATGTGTATGTGTATGTGTGTATGTGCGTGTGTGCATTTGTCCAAGTGACA